GAGAGAGAGAGAGAGAGAGAGAGAGAGAGAGAGAGAGTGAGAGAGAGAGCTTAACACAAATCATTAAATAGAAGTGTCGAGGGAAGGAAAAAAAATGGTTTTTTCGATTTGTGAGGAACTGAACGCTTGCGCAATAAAAACTATGAATCCCCGTGTTTGCCTGGCAATGTTGGATGGTTAACGCACCACTGCTCCATATTCTATATTTACGTGCGGGGTTGTTGGCACGTGGATCTCACTCGGACCATCATTGCACGCATTAGTTTAACGACTCGTTGCAAACATTCAAATTATTATGTTAATTGTAACCCAAACAAACTTGCTTACATGACGTTGTGTTTCACGAATTATTAAATTCTCTTCATCTTTCAACAAATGTGATACTGTTCAGGGTGAAAAATCCTCCTTTTGTCAGGGCCACAATTGAATGACAGATTTGAACAGATGTTCATTCAGTAGTAGAAACAAAATGCCCCGCAACTTTGGGACTAAATAAAGATGCATGGAGAAGAAATTGTATTAAAATTGATGACCCAAGAAGAATTTTTACAGAAACTCTAGTACATCCACAGAAATTTTGAATTTTTATTAAACTAAATGCTCCATTTCAAAATTTTCTATTCAGTTCAGCAAATGTTTTGTTGGTAATTAGTAAACTGATGTCTTTGCTTCAACGAAAATACTTCGATTACATGAAATGAATGGGTCATTAAATTCAAATAAATCAATGAGAATGAAATGAAAGATTTATTCGATCCAAATAAAGAATTACACGATGATTTCATTTCTGACTTGAAAAGTCTTCATTCGGATCAAAGAAACTCTGTTTAGGGGAGGCTGGGGCAATATGAGGATTTTTTACTCTTGTTCAAAAGTTGATAACTCAGAAACTAATTTATCAATTGAATTCCCCTTATTCTCGGTAGCCAATTGACTATTCGCCAATTTGCAATAAACATCTCGGAATCGAAGGGAGTGAGTAAATTTTTTGGTAAGAGCTTTTTTGTAGCCCTCAAGTCGCTTTACAAAAAACGTCATCACGATAATTTCATTATCTCCCTCAGATTCGGTGATATTCCCAAAACACCAATCTGACTTTATTTTTGAAGGAAAAAATTTGTCCCATTTCATTAATAATTTAAGGGTTGTCAAAATTGTTTTAATATTCGAATGTGTCCATATTGCCCCACTATTTCCTATATTAAAAAAATTATTCATTTGATTAAAAAAAAATTCATCAAATTCAAATAAACCATTTATCTGAGTATAAAAAATGCAATAAGTCTAGTAAGAAACAATATTGTAGATAAAAATTCGACAAAAATGTTGTAATTCTCATTAAATTCCTGAAAGGTCAACCAGCGGTCGGTCAACAATCATTACATTTGTCATATTTTGTAATATTATTAGAATTTTTGTACCTTTCTATCACTATAGTTTTCTTATCTCGATTGAAATTTAAAAATAATAAAACAATTCATAATTAAAATTTTCTATTAACTATTGAGTAAATACTTCTAAATTTCATAAAAGGATTTTTCGATTAGACATGTAAGGGTCGAACTTCTGACACGATTACTGGTTGATAGATTATTTCCGAATTTGAATATTCGATTGATGATTAATTTGATCATTGAAAGTTGCTGGGTAATATTATCAGTTAACATAAGTTAAATTTAACTTATTTTGAAATTGATGATTGTTTGATGAAATTTTTTCCTAGAAGACATCCTGAATATTCCTACCCCTTACGCTTATCATATCAAAATTTCTATTGCCAAGACATCTCAGACAATTGATTCCTCACCGTTCAGTCTCCAAGCACAGTTTTTCCTCTCTGTACACTCGACATCATGAAATACCCACCTAAAAATAAAATCGGCCACCTCGAAGGCCCACACTCTAACAAACTATTCCCCCCTGGGTGAATAATAAATTGTATACCCGTCGCAGTTGTGCTTGTCGCGGCATTAATGTGCGAAGCCAAGAGAGATGACAAAATAAAAAAGACAGCTGTAAAATAAAAGTAAAAAAGGAGAGAAATAAAGATGGAAAGGTGGAGAGAAAAATAAGAGAATGATGACGGAGGAGGAGAGAGGAGGAGGAGGAGGCTTGCAGAGGAGAACGACAGGGGAATTATGTTGTGTGTGTGGTTGACCACGCTCTCAGTGTTACTATATATGTTAGGATGTAATTCAAGAATTCAACTATCCAATCAGCGCGACAGAGTTGCCTCTCAAATACTTTGAGCTCCTGAGTTTTAGTGAAATGTGTGCAGGAGTGGGAGGAAACTCTGCCGGTTTCAAACACAGAACTTGTCTGATGACTAGAAGAAAGACAGAGAGAGAGAGAGAGAAAGAGCCTGAGAGTGAGCCGGTGGAGGAGGAGGAGGGAGTTGAATTTACCCAAAAGCCGATCGTTAAAAAATGGGAAAATAGAGTGGGGATACAATAAAAACTCAACTCATGAAATAAAATTGGAAGGAGAGTATTATTTATTCGAAAATGTATATTTAATAACACGTCAATCTCAAATTGAAGCAATGGAAAATTACCTCGGTATTACCGCATGGATAAATTATTTTTTAATGACACATATTCCAATGTTTTCTGTGAAAAACAATGTAAGAGTTACATATGAAAGAAAAATTGACATTTACTGAAAGCTATTTCAATTGTTGGATCCTACGTTTTCACACTGAGATGAATTGAATAAATGAATTCTGTTTCGAATTATATACAGGAGTATGACGAATTTTAACAGTGTAAATGATCGTCTCGTGGAGACCTTGTGTTGTACGCGACTTTTACCCAAGTCACATTATGCTCGTGCGTATTTTTATCAACGGAAGTGCGTAGTTGTTCGTCGCGCATTCCATTCGACAACGAGACTGGAGAGAATTCAGTTACAGGCACCCTCCCCTTCCTCCCCCTTTCTCATTTCAATTTACGGGAAAACAACATGCTGGGACATTTTCAGTGGAGTCATTAAAATAGTCGCAAACGAGTCTATTAAAGTCTGAGACATGGATTTAAATAAAGAATTAGGGAAGATGGTGCAGTTTGTACACGTGAAACGATAAGGATATCAATTTTTGTCTAGGGGATGAGATAACTTCAATGTACGAATAATGTACTATTTTTTCTATCTGCACTGAGAGAGAAAGAACAAGTTCTCAGACAAGTATAAACGAAAAAAATGGCAAGTCGAAAATTACCCAAATAGAACTTTGTTTCATTTACAATAATCATTGCCCTGTCAACACTGAAATATTTCACTTAAAAGGCAGATCATTCACGCAAGATTGTGCATTTTCAGGGTGAAAACATGTCTATTGAACTGAAGTTAATCAAGGAATATTTTGTTCCAATGATTCATTTCTTATCTTTGAGTATTTGATAGTCGAAACGAAGAACTAATCTCCCTTGTTTTGCATAAAAAGACTATTTTTTGAGAAACAAATACACTGGGAGAAAAATAAATTTCTAGAATCATGTTCATTCTTGTCGCAATCTTTTTCTTGATTGGATACCGAAAAGGCTTAAAAAATTGAGGCAAGTTGGATCCACCTGAGGTGGGATCAGAAATGCATCTGTCTGTGGTCAAGTTCGACTGATCAAAACCTGACGAAAAACCGATCCAGTGTTTCTGAGGTCAGGCAGCTTGTAATCACTTTGATCAGATTCGGATTTGGTCACTCTGATTTCAATTTGAGCAGAGTACCCTGAAATGAATCTGATCAGATTCGAATTCCATCACCCTGAAGTTAATTTGAGCAGGGCATCCTGAAATAAACAATATCATATTGGGATTTCATCACCCTGATCTCAATCCGAATGCCGCGTCAGCCGCTTGAAGGCTCAAACGAAGCAAGGATCGGGTATTTTAAAATTCACAAGAGTTAGATGTTTAAAGGTCCGAAGTCTTAAGGGTTGAATGTCTCAAGGGTCTAACAATTCAAGGCTCAAATATCTTGTTTGAAGGGTCAGGCAATATAAAGATCAGATGTTTCAAAGATGAAATGTCTTCGAGGTCAGCCGTATCAAGGGTCAAATGTCATAAATGTCAAACTTCATAAGAGTCAGCTGTTTCAAGGCTCAAAAGTCTTAAGGATCAGAAATCATAAGAGTCGAATGTGAAGGGGAAGGTGGGTGAAGGAGGAAAACGATAACGGGAGGGGGGGGGAGTGCTGGATAAATTCACCCCGACTATCAGAAGTCTATATAGAAATTGTTTATTGTCAGCAATAGTGAAGAAATAATATTTGAAGATGATACATGCAAACGAATATCATATTAACAATACGAGATTCACAATGCAAGATTAGGGCATTAATCCAGTGGTTAGAGTGTAGGTTTAGCAATCGTAAGATGTCGAATTCGAAACCCGTCGTGGGCGGAATAATTTGTGATAACAAAATCGGCTTTTTCCGCGATAAATGTATTGCGGGATGACCAATAAGGTCACAACGGATCATAAAAATGATTTGTCAACATTTTATTATCAATTTTTTGTTAATGATTATTAGTAATAAAACTGGACGCGTTCCTCCAGTCCGGATCTATCGGCCTTGATCAGGTTCGGGTCCGCCAGTTCTGATCAAATTTGGATCTACAGTGGCGCTATATTTTTCATCAGGACCTGATCAATTCGTATCATCACAATCGGAACCGACATCAGGGCTGACCTGATCAAATCCTGATTTAAGCCTGATCGAAATTTCCACTCGGGTAATTCATGTGACAAGAACGAATTGTTTTTCGAATGACTCATTCCAGTTTATTACAATCAATGCTCGAGATTGTAAAAAGCTGGTCAACTAAATAAACCGATAAACTGGTCAACTAAATGGCTCGATTTGCCACAATCTTCGGTGGAAGATTTATGGCAAGAATATTTTTGCTCCTAGAATAGTCTATTGTGCATCAAGTACGGAAAGTCATGTTTTCCGCGCCCGAGGTGCATAATGTACTATTTTAGGCACGCTTCGTGTGTCTAGAACGTCCCTTTTCGGCACAAGGTGAACGTAGCAGCGATGTCCAAGTAGTACATTTCGATACGAGTGCGGAAAAGTGTTTTCCACACTCGTGGGAGGTTCCTCCACCTCGTGGAAGGTTTGTAGCACGAGCCGAAGGCGCGTGATATAATCCCAGGAGCCAAAAAACACTTCCCATGAATATCGAACGATATTTTTCATTACAATGTGTGGAAAAGGGACATTTTAAGCACACGAAGCGTGCCTAAAAAGTGACTTTTTCACACAGCGTGATGCAAGTATACTATTTTGTCTATGTATGTATGGTAGTATGGAAACACGAATAGGTAGTGATAGAAATGACGCTTCTTGTTTGCACTGAAGATAATAATGTTTGGAACTACTGTAGTAGATTTCTAACCTAGGGAGGTGAAACAAAGGAGTCGTGAGCACCTGCAGAATTGCAACTCGAACAGAAGGCGAGGGTACATCTCCTCTATTTCACCTCCTGTGGCTCGAACTGCATTTTTCGCTTTGGCGTAGGCTCAAAGTTAGATTTTCCTCCCGCGAGGTGAAAAAGAAATCTGCACTTTGCGCCCGCCGAGGCAAAAAATATATTTTTTGGAACTAAAATTTTTAGTTTAGGAGACTCATAAAATTTTCCGTAGATTTTTTTATTCTTGATAATTTTCTGTTGGAGAATACTTTTTTTTCTCTCAGTGTATGAATGATCTATCCTTTTTTTATGTACACAACCCCCAGAATGGGATTATTTCATCCCTCGGCATAAAGGGGAAAAATAAGAGTTGATTATATTATTCAATTTCACTCTTCAATCTCAATATTGAGAATCTTTTAGAGATGCAGTGATACAATGGGTGTTGTATTGTCGTACGTTGGCACGAAACAGCGAATAGAGCCATGACTACAAAAGGGGGAGAGTCGCTTAACCGGATCAGAAACCATGCAGTCGTATTTCCTATCTACTTTTCTACTTAACGTACTAGTTGGGGTGCTTCTCGCCAAGACGTTTATGCATACACCTAGTAACGCATTCAGATGGAAATAAAAGTTGTCTGAAAAATGAATGTTGAAGAGTTCGTTTGGGGGGAGGGGGAACTATTGAATAAATATGTTAGTCCATTGCTCAGACGCCTTCGCAATGGATTATACATATAGCTATAATTACCAGGAGAATCGAGTTGTGGGACACCCACGGGGCCTCGGTATATACCAACTTCACTTCTGGATTAATATTATTAACCGCAGCTACCTCTAATGCCTCATGTCAGTTGTACCAGCTTTCTAACGGTAATCGGGCTCCTCCTCGAGGCTTTAGAATCATATTGTGAAATATTTTTCTTAGTCCCAAGTAATTTAGTTATTAAGGATGTTTATCCATTTTCTGGAACTCTTTTTTTTTCGAGGAAAATTCTGTAATTTTTTAGACTGATGGGAAAACATATGAATCCAACATTTCTGATGAACAAGATTAGTAGCAGTGAATTTGATGAAACCAAATGGAAAAAAATTTTCTTGTGCTAGGAAAGGAGACGGGCTTCACGCACGCATGATTGGCTACTCATTTCTGCATATTATTTTTGATCGTTATGTATCCATTTATTCATTAAAAAGGAATTAATGTCTGCTTTTATTATGTTCAGATTTTAGAAAAATTTCGAGAAAATGGTCTTTAAAAATGTTTACGACGAAAAATTCACATTGTTTATAAAATCAGGTGCAAGTGTTGTCCAAGTGTGAAAATGTGAGCTTTTGTGAAGAACTGTTCATCAATTTTCATGTCAATCCCCTATTAAAAAATGGGTGAAATATTTTCAGTCAGCATTCTATTTCGCTAAGCCTATGCTAAACTTAGAAATGTTCTAAGTTTATCTTATTTTATGAATAACAAATACTTATTTATATATAAAATGTATAAAATAATAATACTAATAATACTAATAATACTAAATATATTAATAATAATAATAAAATTTCTGTATCATATATATATATAATATGATACATAGATTTATATTATATGTAAATAAGTATTTTTTATTCATCCGTGAAGATAAACCTGAAATATTCTTATGTCTAGCATATGCTTGGCGAAATAGATTGCTGACCAAAAATGTTTCACCAATTTTTTAATAGAGGACACGGACTCTTATGGGATTTATTTTCAAATTGATAATTGTCTCACTGGAAGATTTAAACGACAAGAATACAAGTAGAACACAATTTACTGAATTAAAGTAGCTCTACCCTTTCGACCTGCTGTGTTACAGATTTCGATATTTTTAGTTCTTGAATTCTCCAACCAACTTACATGAGAAAAATTTGAAAAAATTCGCAAGCAATTTTGTTGAATCCCAATTTTTGAGAATTTTTTCTCTAAAAAACCAAAACGGTCATTAAATTGAGAAAAGAATTACGATTTCGAATCTCATCGAATTCTTGTAATTCTTCGCAGATTTTAATAATTTTTAAAATTATCGTTACAGTGGCGCCCTTAAGGATGTTCTACACCCTTTCTGCCAAAATTCACGTTTTTTTAATTTTTCTGGCAAACTTATGATGGTAACGTTTTTGCGTTTTGTCATTATTTAATGACTGACGAAATTTTAAGATGGTGCGAACATTTTCCTGCGTTTTCTTTAAACTTTAAAAAAAAAATCACAAAACTGTAGAAAAAACGCATGAAAATTATCGCACCACTACGCAACTTCGTGAGCCATTAAAGAATGACAAACCACCAAATTGTTATATTTTTTCACGTCACTCCCATCGATAATTTGCCAGAAAAATGAAAACAACGTCAATTTTGGCTAAAAGGGTGTCGAACATCCTTAAAACCGAGGTACTCAGGCGAATAATGCAGATATTTGAAACTTTAATTTTCATATTACCTCATGCTAGCGCCTACAGTTGGTGTAGATTGTTTATTTAATTTCTGATCAATCAACACGGGTTGGTGGATTAAAATTTTCATCATCATGAAGGAGATAACTCCGAGTCAATTTTCAACCGCTATTTTTACTTTAATAACCGAGGCAATTCTCAATGTCTATTTTTACTTTGATTGCTTTCAGGCCAATCCCTGTCAGCATCCAATCGTCATTCTCAGAGATGTCGCGTCGTCGGATATGGAGTCTCTATTGAGGTTCATGTATCACGGTGAAGTGCATGTTGGCCAAGAGCAGCTTGCGGCGTTTCTCAAAACAGCTCAGATGCTTCAGGTCAGAGGTCTTGCTGATGTCAACAGCAGTACAGCAGGAACTAAAGTACCACCACCTACTGGATCTGCGGGACGGGACAATGCTTCACCGGTAAAGAATTGGAAAATTCAAACTATTCGATATTGCACATTTTTTTTACTAGTGTGTTTGGTCGCCCGCCTTACGGCAGTCCAATTTTTTCCATCTTGAAACCGACATTAGATAACTTATGTTAGAAAATTCTCGAATATTCTGAAATATTGTCGAAGCACCTAAACAGTGCATCGGTGATGAAAGGGTAAGTACGTAAACTCTCAAATCGAGAAAGTTTTACGATAAACTCGCGGTAAAATTAATGTAAAAATTCCCTCCGAGAAAACTGCTGCACAGCTCTGGATTTTTTTAAAAATTTTCTATACCCTTCCATGATTATCCGAAGCGTTACCTTCTGGATTTATCGAAAAATTTCTGAAGATTGCTAAAAACTTGCAGTCTTCTGGCACATTCTGCGTCGGAAAATAGCAAAGTTTCCAGACGATTCGTTAGTATTCTAAAGGATCCTTTCTAGAACCTTCCATGAATTTTCGGAGAAACGGACATTTCAAATTATATGGAGTCATATTGTGAAATTACCCTTATGAAGAGGGAGTTTAGAAAAAAACGTTAGGGGACTTTTCTTGTGCCTAATTTCATCTCTCTATTTTTAAATATTATAAAAATCTAAATCGACTTCTGACGATAAAAATTTGGTACTCGAAATTAAGACTCCAAAATTAAGGATCACAAAATAAGGGTCACGAACATCAATGTAAGGGTCAAGAGAGTCAGAATAGGAATCACGGGGGTCAAAATAAGGGTCATTAGGGTCATAAGAGACAGAATAAAGGTCACGAGGATCAGAATAAGGGTCACAGTGGTTAGATTAAGGGTCATGACAGTCAGAATGAGAGTCACGAGGGTCAAAATATGGATCACAAGGGTTATTAGGTGGGTCAGATTGAGGATCCAAATAACGCTCATAAGGGTCAGATTAAGGATCCAAATAAAGGTCATGTGGTCAGAAACTAAAAGTTAAAATAAGGGTCTCAATATATCTCTCCACATTATAAAAATCCAAATCGATTTCTGGTGTTTAAAATTTCGGTCACAAGGGTCAGATTAGGAGTCTAAATAAGGGTCTCAATATAATGAGGGTCAGAATACGGATCATGCCGGTCATATGGGGATCATGTGTGAGTTATATGGGGGTTGGCGAGCGGAGCGAGCAGGGGCGTAGTCCCCTAGTGCTCTATAAGAAAAAATTTCTCAATGTTTTCTCTTAAAACCAATAGTGATTTAGATAACCTCAAAATTACTACATGTGTCAAATTTAACCTTTCATGCTCTTGAGCATCTTCATGTTAAGAAGAGATAGATGAGACATAAACATAGAACAAAATTCATCTGTTGTTCTCGATTGTAACATCACACTTCATTTCATCATTATAATAAAAATAATCATTCCATCAGTGATTAGTTGATGCTTATTTGTTTATCGTTCTTGGAAACCCGCATATCAAAGGAGATCAGACTATCACAAAAATAAATCTTAAAATTAAAATTAGAGCAGAACAGTTTCAGATACCAATTCATATCTTTAAATGCGAAATTATTTTCATGAGGTGTGAGATTGGAAACAAGTGATAAGAGACTTTTTATGGGTAATTTCCTGCTCTATAAAAAAGGTCTTCTGATGTTTTCTCCTGAAACGAATAGTTTTTGGGATAGGCATGAAATTACCAAAAGTATCAAATTTACCTTTTCATTGCTCATGGTAAGCCGCCAACCATGATATAAACATAGAACAAAGTTCGTCTAATGTTTTCGATTGTCACATTCCACTTCATTACGTCATTATAACAAAAATCATTATTCCGTCAGTGATTAATTTATTTCTACTTGTTTATTGTTTTTGGGAACCGTGATCTGAAGGGAGAACAAACGATTACGTAAAAATAAATTTTAAATTTAGAATTTGAGCGGGACAGTTTTAGATACCAATTCATATCTGTGAATGGAAAATTACTCCCATGAGTAGTGAATTTAAGAGAAAGTATTAGTAGACTTTTTTATTTGTAAATTGTTGTTTTACAAAAAAGACCATGTGACGTTTTGTTTTAAAATCAATAGTTGTTGAGGTTCGTAGGACATTACTAGAAGTAAGAAAAGAAAGAAAAAAAGGTCACCTGATGTTTTCGACTGTAACATTACACTTGACTACATCATTATAACAAAAATTCCGTCAGTGATTAATTGATTTTTATTTGTTCATTGTTCTTGGAAACCCTGATATGAAGATAGAATAGACGATTACATAAAGCTATATCTTAAAATTAGAATTTGAACATAACAGTTTTAGATACGAATTCATATTTTTGAGTGCAAAATAACTCCCATGAGAAGTGAGTTTAGAAGAAAGTATTACAAGTCTTTTTTGTACATACTTTCTGTTAAAATCAGACAGCAAAAGTGCACCTCATGTTTTCGATTGCATCATTACACTTCACTCCACCATTATACCAAAAATAATTACCCCATCAGTGATTAATTTATTCTCATTTGCTTATTATTCTTGAAAGCCCTTACCTCGATTGACATAATGAAATTCCTCAGCTTACAGAATGACAGAATTAGCTCTTAATCATAGCTAAAAAATTATGTTATATATATTGATGTTTCCCCTGATTCTGAATTAGGTGACGTCAAGGAATCCATGGCACGAAGGTACGAGAGATCCAACCGATAGTGGCCTGAGTCCTCCATCCGAGAAAAGACCGAGAAGTTACTCACCTCCAGTTGGTAATCACCACGAGCCCAAAGCCGATCTTCAAGAGTCACTCCTTGGGCAGGCCCTCGAGGGGGGACCCACGATACATACTCCAGCAAATAATGTTCAGGTGAATTAATTAATCCAATCTTGAAACGAGTTATTCATATTAAAACACCGGATTAATTCAATCGATTTTCAATAAAAATTCACAATCAATGATTTTTCACAGGCACAATCAACCGGCGACGACTCAAATTCTATGTCCGACAACGACGAGGAGATGTCAAACAACGATAGTATTTTAAATTCGGTGAAGACCGAGCCAAACGACATACTCAATGACTCAATGGAACACCATCGTAACTCCTTCCCAGCAGCACTCCTAGGTCTTCAGGGTGAGTAATCAACCCCCTACCAACACAAAATTTTAGTAGCGAATCGGTAAAACGGTTTAAGTCGATTTTGACAATTGGTCAGTCTCGAGAAAAAAAATAATAAAATTTGGGTGTTTTCATAACCCCTTTAGCTATAACCTCCGAGGTTACCCCACTCTCAATTAGGGAAATTACCATGGCACCCAGAAAAATAATGAACTATTGAGGAATTAATCAGAAAAAAGAAAATATTCATAAGAAAGTTACTTGAACAAATCATTCGGAAAATTATGAGTCTCGGGGCAATTAGGGTCTCACGCGCAGGCGCGTGATTCGACTGTCAGTGGGAATCATGCGAAAGGTATGGGTTGGACCATGGAACAGAGAGAGAGAGAAAACACTAGACAGGTTTACCAACTCGAGACGCATTTTAGTATTATTTCAATAATTAGAATAACATCCAATAAAAATTATTTGACACCCGTAGGTGATGAGAAAAAAATCAATCCATCTGATAAATAAAATCAATATTCAAAAAATGTTCAAATGCACACCTAAGGGTGTTTCACCTTAAGTTGACTCATACCGTTTTACCGCTTCGCTACTGATTTCCCTCTCCGTCAAACCCCATAGACTCATGATCATAATTTCACAGGATTGATGCCAGGTCCCTCAGGAATTCACGCAGCGAATCAGGATCCAAATTACGGTAAGTCCTCCAGTCACCTAAAATTCTCAATTTACAATAGAGCAAACAAAATCAATTTTAAAAACCCCAGAGACAATCAAAAAAATTGATAATTTCATTTAACGATCGTAGTCCCAAACTAGTAATTTTCCCTGTCGTTCCTACGACTCTGATTCTCTCGTTGTTTGCGCTGAATGCATGGAACTCTCGTACCTCTCATAAATCACCAAAAAATCCCCCTCCCCTCCTGGCCTTTACACCAATTTATCACGATAACAAAACTCCCCTGAATAACCAAGAAAAAAAACCTAAACAAAAAGTAAACCAAAATTGATAGAAAGAAAAGGGTGAGTAAAAAATCGCGTTTGGATTGTTGACTAACTTAACCATTCACACCCAAGCGAAATCCTGCCTTGAAAAATCAAAATCAGATAGAGAGGCAAAGACAATAAGTGTGTGACGAGGAAGACCCTAGAAGGAATTGTGGAATTGGCTCTCAGTCATCATTGAAGATATTGCATTAAAGACAAAAAAAACCCCACTCGAAAAACTAATCGAGGAAAAACAGTATCAAACAAAGAATTCGTTAACGTAAAAACGTGATGAAAAGTGAGGGCTAGTGTTTAAGGGATTGAGATTCAGAGGTGACCAAAGTGGACTGAAATTGGCTGGTGGTTCCAGGGCGGTGGCAGCCCTCTGATGACGGGGGATCGAGTGGCTGGCAACCTGGTGGCTCGTCAACAATAAACGACAGTGTCAATCGTGGATGTAGCATCAACAAGCAATTCACCGATGAGATCACCATTCAGCAACATTCACGAAATGATAAGCGTCTTACCACCAGCCAGTCATCCTCATCATCAGCCCAGCAGTTACTCAACACGATCAATCCCATGAGCCTGAACAGCGATCAATTATCGGTGATGCATCAAAAATTGCAGAACAATCTTCAGAGTTTACAAGTCACATCCAGTGCTAAATATCTGCAATCGTGCGATCCCTTTCAACATCATCAAAGCGCTGATTTAACCCTCACTGGCAAGCCAAAGTGTCCAGAGTGTGGCAAAATCTACTCAAACAACTCAAATCTCAAACAGCACATTGTCAATGTTCATACAGTGCAGACGCAGTATCTGGCCTGTCACATATGTCACAAGCAATTCAAAACGAAGCAGTATCTCCAGATACACCTGCTGTCGATGCATAATATAAGAAAGCGAAAGAAATATCCGGTTTATCAGGTGCCTGGTGGTACGCCTGCGCATCATGATCAGAGACTGACGACAAGTGCGCAGATGAATTTGCCACAGCAGCATCAGTATGGAAGTGTTGAAGGGTGGAGCGATGACAAAAATTGATTAGAATTCCCTTGGACTAATTGAACGACAAAAAAGGCCCCCGAAAAGACTGCTATATGATAGCCCACGTGCATTTAACTCAGATACACTACATCCTCCCTTCCACGAAGAATCGTCTCTTCAATTATTTTTAATAAAATACTGATTCAGGGAGGAACACCTCGTACTATCAGCCATCGCTTCAATAATTCATTAGTAAAAATGCTTGCCGAGGGCAATTACGATGGAAATTAAACCGACATCATTAGTCTTCAGCATGAAACTCCATTTCTTTTCAGAAAGAACATGAGACACTTTATTTCACCTCCTAGTTTTATATACCTGGCAGTTACGAAAGGGGCAATCGATACTCTATGGGCATTAACCCTGCAAACAAAAAAAAACAGCCTTTTGCGTTTCTCAGTTGTATTACGTTCCTTTTTTACGTAGGGACCCTGGGCAAAACAAACCCTAGCGGCTTATCCAATTTCACTGTGTTTCCACGAATCTCTTCCATCTATCCCGTGCGACTCAACCCCAAACTCGATTCTCGTCCGACGTAACGGTAATGGAAGCACAGACGCCCATTTCTTCCTCCCCCACCCTCGTTCATCCCATCCCTTCACCTCCAGTTCTGACCCTCTGTCTCTTTTCTTCGAGCCCTGAGCACTTATCTGACCCACACAATTACCCAGACCTCTTTCCCTCCCTCTCTTTCTTATTCTCTATTTATTTTTTCAAAGTTGATGGTTTTTTTCTCAATACAATTTTGGTGCAGATTTCGTTTCAACTTAAGTGGACCTCCCCTCCCTTCATTTTTCCTTACTTCAACCATGTTTTTTTTCGGAAACGTTCAATGAGAAAAACGTGACTTTGGATCAGGTCGAGAGGGTGCGCCAGATTAGGAACCATCTATCACTCTGGGATAGGATCGTGATAAGGCGGGACTTTGGTTATACCCTTGCGATTCTCATCGATCTGGCTACACCCCCTTAACTTCACTCGCCCCCCCCCCCCTATTCTCAGCATTTATTCCGATTTCTCAAAAGTACGGGAGAAGGGCTTGTTGTTGGGTGAATATAAATATTATATGAAAAAAAATATTGACGTGCGTCGAAACACGTGCAAATATCACCTGTTATGAGAGGCGTGAGGGTGAGAGGGGAAGAAAAAAAAGAAAATCTGGGAATTCCGTTGGTTCCCATCATTTGTATTGTGCAGATAGGGGAGGGGATTCTAGGGGGTTGTCTGCCAGCCGTGTCCAAATTTAACGCATGCAGCGTGGAAAATCCAGCTCCCACGAAAAAAGATTGATTAAGCTTCGTCTCCCTTTTCTCCCTCGAGTGAATCCCCATGGGGCTGTACCTAACCCATATTAAAAACGTGACCAGACATAGAAGATGATTCGTAATGGTGTCCCTTGAATCTCAATGTCTGGAATACTCAAAATTTCCATTTCATCCCTTCACAATATTTTCAAATAAAATGAGAATTGATTACTGAAGCGAAAGTAGACTGTTAGAAAAAAAAATGGAATTTCATGGAGATTTAGGGAGAAAGAACCATCATTTCAGATTTCACTGAAAATTTGGAATTCCATAAAATATTAAAATTTTGCAATTTCATTCAAACTCCTACACATTCTCCAAAACAGATTTCCAAATAAAATTCATCTTGGTCGCTACTTCCCCCTGATTCCTATTTAAAATTTCTATTTTATCCCTTCACAATATTTTTAAATAAAATGAGAATTGATTTTGGACACGTAAGCACATCGCTAGAAAAAAATTGAAATTTCATGGGGAGATCAGTAGTAATCCAAGAGAGTGACATTAAATTCGATTTAAGGGAGAGAAAGTAGTAAAACTTCGAATTTTGCTGAAAATTTAATGAAATTCCAAATTTTTAAATAGCAGGGAGATGAGAATTCGCCAATTTACTTGAATTTTCAAGTAAAAGATGAATATTCTGTACCAAATAAGACTGAATTATTCATTGTTGCAAGATTCAAAACCACATTTATTTGAAATTACACTTTCCATTGATTTTTCCATGAGTTTTTCAAGTTTTAATGATGAAATTCCTTGAAATTCCAGTAAAACTATAATGTGTTGAAAATTTCCAAGATGTTTACTGAAAATTTTAGCTAACAATTTTTAATAGTGTAGCATTTCACTGAAAATTCAAAACATAAATATTTTCAATTGATTTACCTGAATTTTCCTGCTTCCTGCTCATTTTCATGGGATAATTACACTGAAATTTACAATTTTGATTGATTTTTTCATCGAATTGTAAACTTTCGATGACGAAATTCGTTGAAATTTCAGTGGAACTATAACTTGATAAAATTTCCAAGTGTTTCATCACAAATTTTCAACAGTCTAGAACTTCTCTCCCAGAACTTAGGATGAAGTTTAAGCCATCAAACAAATGGTAGAATGAAGTAAAAACTAGTAAAAAAAAAAAAGGAATACAGAGAATATCCCCAGAGGGTTCCTCAAGACATCGATCGATCCTCCAGCAATTTCGCGGACATGTTCGCATTGATCTGACATTCCCCCCTTTTGCCACCTCTATTTGGCCACCCCATCATCCCCCAGCTCCTCAGGCTTTTTCGGTGAGATAACCCGCCCATCACCACCCATCCACCCGCCACGTCCTACAAACTTTCCTCCAACCCTCATCTCTTCCGCCTTTCCTGAGTTATCCCCCCTCCTCCCTCCGCCTCGCCAACTCTATCCTTCCAACTTACTTTTCCTCGCTTTCTTCTTTCTTTCCTCTCCTCTTTTTTATCCGTACAAAACTATTCCACTGGTCATCAACGGGCGTGGCGCGATTTCGACTTTATCTTGAAGCATTAACGTCACTCAAACACTTCTCGTTCTTCTTTATATACTCTGTTCATAAATCGTGGGTGACAACTTCTCTGCACATGCATGCACCAATTCTTCTCAAATACGAATTCTCTCACCGTCTGATTAAATCGAGGAATCAAAAAGTTTAATTCAGTAGGAATGCGGTAAAATAAAATAATTTAATTCAATTTCAGAGAGAAATTATAAAATTTTCATAAGAACAATATAAGAAAGGTTAGGGCATATTGGAGAAATAATTACGACGTTGGTTAAATTGTCATAGTGCGACATTTCGCTAAATTATTTTATGTCGCGCCGTGCAATAAGTCGAGTTTATCGCACGCTGCGCTTCGCGCAGCTTGCTCAAAACTCGACTGCACGACTTGACATAAAATATTATAGAGCACTCGGTAATAAATTTCGTTTTCAACGAATGTGTGTACAGACCTCGCCTTCGGCTCGGCCTGTAAACTACACATTCGTTGAAAACGAAATTTGTGCCCTTGTACTCTAATGTACTAGCTTCGTCAGGATCTGGAAAACAAATTCCATGAGAACCTTTTGAATGTTTTTCAATAGACAATAATTCATAGAAACAATCAATAGTTTTATCCCTCCATACAACTTATTTTCTGAAGATTATTTTTGTAGAAATTACAAGGCTTGCGTTTTTCTTGTTTGAATTTTTCGTCGTCAGAAGAAAAAAAATAATTTTGAAAAATTTAGACTCAGGCACTTTGGCGGAGAATAATTCAATAGAATAAATTCAGTAGCGAAGTGGTAAAACGGTTTAAGTCGATTTTGACTATTTTTTGATTATTCGTCAGTTTTCAATGAATATCTCGAAATCTGAGACAGATAGCAAAATTTTTGGTATAACCTTTTCTGTAGAACACATTGAGAGCTAACAAAAAATATTTATGAAAATCTCACTCCCTTAGCTCCCTTAGATTTGCAGATATTCCTCAAAAACTTAGCTAAGAGCTAAGTCGACTTGAATTGTTTTACCACTTCTTTGCCCATGTGGTATTTGCACTTCTTGTGTGCAAGAACAGCGTAATTTTTCAATAAAAATCCAATAAACTGGTTTGCCGAATGCGAAAAAAGGAGCAATATCAAATCAAACAAATGAAATTTCTCCGAATGTGATATTATTCTTTTCTACAAAGGACTTCTATCAAAACCGGTATCTCATGCATACCGATATTTTTCTAATATTAGAATGGAATTGTTTCTTCTCGCTTCTCATAAATTCCCCATATTTTTGCCATTCCCTTCAAATTCCCAGACATTCTCCAAAACAGATCTCCAAATAAAATTCATCTTGGCCACCGCTTCCCCCTGATTCCTATTCACTCTAGATCCCCCCAAAGAATATTGAACACAATTTTACACATTCTATAACACCGGACATGACTAGTCTGACAATAGTATCTGCAACCAAACGTCGGTTAACATTCTTCGATCGATTCTCTAATTCTCCTCAGCCAATCAGACCGCGCTTCTGGGCTCTTCACTTTTACTAGAATGAGACGCAGTGAGAAATCGCGGGGGAAGGGGAGTACCACGGTGCCTCCGTGTCCATGCAAGGCAACTCACGGGGGATACTAATGGACGCTGTGCGCAATCATCACCCCACAAGAATCGCAATTTCCCAGACCAGACAATACTCCCTCCATCCTTCCCGAAATTCCTATCTCTCTCTCCTCCCCTCCCTCTTCCCCTCCCGGACATTAACATTTCCCGTGCCATGAGCATATTTTACCTCTCGATTATTCTTGTTCGTTCATTATTTTATTGAGCTCCATACACCGAGAAAAAAAATATTTTTGCCAAATATTCATTTACTTAATAGAAGTATTTATTTTTTCAATGCCGTATTTCTCCAGTCGAGTCATTCCCAGGCAATTCTCATTAGGTGTCAATTATGACAATTATATTGCTCTAGAAGATGATCATGTTAGTTGTAACCTCGAGTGACTCCCTCAATAATTATAAACATTAAAAAATTAATTCAGTAATGAAGCGGAGAACCAGTTAAACTCGACTTAGCTCTTCCCTGACTTTTCGAGGAATATCTCCGAATCTAAAAGAAGTAGCGAAATTTTTATTACAACAAAAATTTGCTATCTCCCTTAGGTTCCGAGATATTCATTAATAACTGACCAATAGGTTAAATCGACTTAAACCGGTTTACCGCTTGGCTACTGAATTGAAATTCTTCCATGTAGAAAATAAGAAATTTTGGGAAAAATAAATAATCATTGGATAATTCATCCACGGTCATGTTCAACATAGTCATTCTCTAGAGTAACATAATTGTCATAATTGAAATCTAACCAGGCTTGCCTGGAAGTGATTCGATTGGAGAAATAGTACACTGTTAAAAATTTTTTACTGAAATTTCCGTTAAGTCTTGTGAATTTCTAAGAAGTAACATTTCCACTGAAATTTCAAGGGATGTTGTCATTGAAAATTCATAATTTCATAGAAAAATCCGTGAGAACTGTAAAATTTCAGATTAATTATTCAGGGAAAATTAATGAAAAATCAGGAAAATTCAGAGAAATTTTTCCTTAAATTCCAGATTTCTCGGAAGTTTTAGGGCATTTCTTTAAAAAATCCTGGATTTCAAGAATTTTAAAGAAATTTCTTAAAAATTCAAGAGCATTTGGCAGTTAATATTAATTTTCACTTGAAAATTCATGTAAATTGTAAAATTTTCGTCTTCCTACGGTTAAAAAAATGGGATTTTACTTGAATTTTCAGAGAAACTTGAAATTTCATCAACTTTTTCTCCTTAAATCGAATTCAGGGTCTTTTTCCGGATAATTCAGCTAAATTTTTTTAACATTGTATTTCGAAAAAGTAAATGCTTCTCTAAAGTAAATGAATATTTGGGAAAACATTTTTTTTCTCAGTGTATGTAAGCCGAATGATACGAGTAACGGGGGTTGAATTTGAAAAATGAAACTCGATGTTTTCCAAGTGGAAAGTGGACTGGAGAGATTCGTAGAAAAGATAGTGACAACGAGGCGTACAAGGGGTGTCGATCAATACAGGAAGCTTCTTACGTAGTTTGCCCAGTAGGCCTTCTCCCACCCATTTCCAAACTATATATCATCGTGTCTATAAAAGACACAGGGCTGTCAATATCACGACCGCCAGGATAAAAAAGAATCCAAAAAACTAATGGGAACCAAAAACGAATCATCAAACAGCGAAAAACACTGCAGTAATCAAGCGAAACAGCCTTAAATGTCACAATGGAAATCACAATTATTTAAAAATTATAAAAAAAACACCATCCTACAACCGGGCATGCCCTGAGAGTACGAGAGTAGCGTGTGTCCTTGAATGTGTGTACGAATGACAATTCACTTATTTTAAACCAGAGAAATGAAAAAAAAAAAAAACAAGTAGACGAGTGAATGGCGAAAAAACTAGAGAAACAGAGTGGTGGGAAGTGATTAGATTGAATGAAACTGATGGGCACGTCCTGGTTGTAGGGACAGTGATGACTAAACGTGAGGATGTCATGGCTGGTGAGAATCCAACACAGAATCCAACACAGGCAGTGGACAGTTTCGCTAGGCTCTACACATCGCTACGTCACGATGATTCTCGACCTTTGTGTCGTTACTGCGGTAGAAGTTATTCATCACCAAGTAATTTACGACAGCATGTGAAAAATGTACATTCACAGTGGCCACCCCAGGACACGTGGCCGCAGTGCAATGTCTGTGGAAAGCGTTGCAAGACGAAACATTACCTGATTAATCATCAATTGCAGGCCCACGGAATACATCAGCGACCGAATATGAATAATCCGAATAATCATCATCAGTAGTCCAATGCCTTGTGATGCCCAATCACTGAATAATAAATTACAGACAGACAGAAAATAAATCCACACCACAATCTTTTATTTTTTCAAACGAGAGAGAATGAGAACACGTTGAGATGAGACAATTTGTTATTTAAAAAAAAAAAAAAAAAAAAAAAATTGCTAATAATTTTTTTTGGAAGAAAGGAAAAATGTATAATTGTAATAATTGTTGTTGTAAGAGTGAACGAAACGGAATTATTATGGATAAGTGCGTGGCCAAGAAGCAGTGGTAACAGGTTTTCATGTGGTGGTGGTTGCAGATGACGGGCATAAAGATGGAGAGAGTGCGGCTTACCACCACCACCAACGGGAGCCAGGGACAATAGTCAAAGAGGAGTACTTGGATCATGATGTCGCTGATTTCAATGGTCCTCCAGTATCACACGACCCTAAAACATACCCAGAGAATGATGGTAATGGAGACAACAGAAGTAATTTTCATGCACCACGGTATGGTTACACATGCCCAATATGCAATCGTGTGATTGTTAATATCGGTGATATGAGGGAACATCTGGATCGTCATTATCCGAGAGATTCGCCCATTTGTCCGATATTGTCGTGTCGTAAGAACTTTCTGCATCCAAACAGTGTTAGAAATCATATGAGAATTAAACATGGGGCTAAGTGGAAGGAGATTAAGGCACTCAGGTGGACATATGTGTAATTATATGGTTTATCATTTTTTATCTTCTGTCGATGCATTGGAAGAACGTGATGTCAATATGTGAAAAATTTTTGTAAGACGCACATGTACAGCCAAAGTTTTATTATTTCTTTTTTATTATCTTTTCGGCGTCACTCTGTACATAATAACAATTACGCCATCAGTATTTATGTTTGAATTCAAGTCCTGTAGAGAAATGAGGTGCAGGTGATCGATACATCAGATGCATTTCTTTGGATTAAGTGATTAAGTGCATAGATTTAACAATAAAAACATTGAGAAGACGAAGACGTTCCTCCTAGCTGAGTAAAGAGAATGCGAAAGGAGTACAACACTGGTATTTACTTTGAGAATGCATTTGTTTCAAGCTTTATTTTCTATGATTTTCAATTGAAACGAAAGATGTATAGTTGTAGTAGCGCTCAGGCTTATTTTTATACAGTTCCCATATGACGGAAAAACAGTCAGGTGTCCAGAGATGGTGCAGACACTTTGACACTCGATTTTATCAGATTCAATGGTACTAGTCTGATGATAGATAAAACACAAGGTACAATTATTCGAAGCATTCACGTTAGTTTATTTAGGTAACTTCCACTGAAAGTATCTTCCCTTCCATTGGTCTGTTCCCTAAATCGAGTGCCGAAGTAGCTTCATAATATTTTAGAAATCAAGAACAAAAGTCTAAATACAGAGGTAGATTATTATTTATAGATTGTAAAGAATATGAAAATCTATCCATAAACATTTGCAAGATGATGAGAATGAAACGAGGATTTACTGTTTAAGTGAAAAGCTTTGTATAATAAAACAATCCGAGTGAAGTTTAACGAATTGTGTTTTTAATATCTCCTTTCTTCCAAATTCTACATAAAGAAGAAAAAGGTTTTATTTTCAGTGCTATGTCACTGACTTTCAGAAATTCATTGCCAATTTTTAGTGACATAATCACTAATTATCAGGGAAACTCAATTTTTTAAAGAATTTATTCCCACATTGCAGAACTAGAATTAACTGACGATCAGGATTATTCGAGTCAATGTCCAGTATCACCCATAATTGCCAGTAACATGTTCCTGAAAATCAAAAATGTTTTTTCTCTATAAAACTCCAAAGAACTAAAATCACCTGAAGCTGCAAAAAAAACTAAATAACAACAATTATTTTCCAGTAGCAAGACGAGGCATCGACATGATGCGAGTAAGAGCGACAGACCCCCGACCTTGTCCAAAATGCGGCAAGATATACCGTTCAGCTCACACACTTCGTACTCATTTGGAGGACAAACATACAATCTGCCCTGGCTACAGATGCGTGCTGTGCGGTACAGTAGCAAAATCAAGGAATTCCCTTCACTCGCACATGTCTCGTCAGCATCGCGGTATAAGCACAAAGGATTTGCCAGTGTTACCAATGCCAAGTCCCTTTGACCCCAACTTAGCGTCAAGATTGCTGGCAAAAGCTGGTGTCAAAGTGAGTCCAGCTGAGTTGAAGGCGAGAGCGAGTCCCACGGGTCCAAGGCGAAATGACATGAGATTAGAGATGCCAAGAGATGCACCATCAGAGGCAGGGAGCTCTGTCTGTGGTGGTGATGACCCCGAGGATCTGACCCTACCCCTCAGTCTGAGGTATGGCTCACCGACGCCTAATAACAACACAGTTATTACAAAAATCTCTCATAACAAAGCTGTCGCTGCTAAATCACTCGAGTCAATGATGCATGGACACAGTCGCGAGCCCAATACAGCGCCGGTCCACACCAGTGGCCATTTACCTATGCATCATGGTCATCATAATAGTGCACTTGGTTCGTCAGCACTGCTCGACACTTATTTACAACTGATTGCTGAGAGCTCTCCATTGGCTGCACTAGGTCTCAGTCCTGAACAGGCAGCTGCCGCTGCTGTTCAGGCTGCCAAAATGGCGCAAATGAATGCACATGAAAAATTTGGGGGCAGGGGGATGGAGGATTATCCTATGATTGGACGAGATGAGGGTCGGGGTATTGGGCTTGTACATGAGGATCGTACTGAGCATCATGACAGGAGCATTGGTAACAATGATAAACATGAGGAGGAGGGAGAATCGTCCAACGGTGAAGAGGATGACTTCAGTGAGAACGAAGAGCCTGAAGCTGTTCCGGCTGAGTAAATTTTAGGTTTTATCTTTTTAACGGTGATTTTACCTTTTTTTCATTTGCGGTCTACTTTTTAATTTGTTGAAGTGAAAAACGCCTCAATACATTATTCGCGTTAATACATGGAACGTTAACAGAATCCATCCACTACCTCATATATAGTCTATATTTTCACATTTTTAACGATGAACAATTGATTTTTGATGCTAAATTAATGGAAGTATGATCTCCGAATTTGTAAGGTACATGTTTATTTTTCTTTTTTTTTCTTTTTTTTTGACAGATTGATACAGTCTCAGTGTGAGACGGTGAAGTTATCACAATAGTTAAAAATGTCCCTGAAAACTATTCCATCCGACTACCTCAGTGCACATAATAGAGCAATAGGAACTACATATAGATGATAGAAGCGTTTTTTTTTGTTTATGATGATGATTGTGAGGATGCAATGTTGATTAGAGAGCATGGAGTTTTACGTTTATTGGGTGGTGAGGGATAAACGGGTTTGAGACCGTCCTTTGTCGAGCCTCGTGACTTAATTTTTTTTGAGAAAATACGGAACACCGGGGTCTCACGTTGAGAGATGAGGGCTGACTTTGTTGAGGGAAGTTACTTGTAGGTTTTATTTTTGATTATTTTTTCTTCATTTTCATGATTTTCGCCTTTCGAGCCACTGCGTTAATTAATACATTTATTATATGTGAATGTTGAGACGAAAGAGGGAAGAGAGAAAAGGATATATATGAAAAAAAAATACTAGGTTTGTTGGGAATTTTGGTACACCACAGCACATGCGTATTTGAGGCGTGTATTTTCTTCATAAATTGATTGTTTATATCATTTGGGGATTTTTAAATTTAATACGTTCGAATCGATTTAATTTTTTTGATAGAAGTATGTTAGCAAGCGTTGAAATGCATTGAAAAAATATATAATTGACTGTCACATTTCACTGCTTCACAACTTCAAAATCAGACTCATTATTCATGATTTTATTTTTTCATTTCCCGTTCGGCTTTTACGTGGCTCAAATGTTTCTAGTTGACTCAATTTTTATTAATCATTTTAATGAAAACAAGTTTTTATGGAAACGAACAGTTCCTCGCGATGATTTTTCAGGCGAATACGTGAATACTCTTGCCATAAACTATTATTTTCGCGCTCACCGTCGAGTCTAGTGAGAAAAGAACAACATATTAACTTGAAAAACTGGAAATGGACGATTAAATTCACCGGGCAATACACGCGAAATGCGTCTGTGTTGCGTGACTGGGAGAAATACATCATGAGGATGTTAAAGAAGAGAATAATAAAGAGAAAGAGAGATGGGATAAACATAGTCTAAAGGTAGACATAAGTTGTATACAATACTCCGAGTATACTAATTGTAGATTTTAAGAGCATAGTATCAATAACGAACAGGGAATGACGCGTAGCGATGTGTTTTTTTCGTGTTGAAAAACGAGTTGAACGAGTGAATTTCATTATTGAAAATTATAATCAGCCCTGGCTGTGGACTAAATTGTTTTCTATTATTTAAAATTCATTTCGATTCGATGAATCATCACGCTAAGTATACGAATGATAAATAAATTTGGTGTTGATCCGTATACGATTTGTGGTAACATCGAAATACGATTAGTGACTAGAATGAAATTATAAAGAAATTTGATGAAAAAAATGGAATATTAGTACAAAGAAATTTTCAATGCTAGTGGTTTTTTTTCGGTCGAGAGACTACTCTTATTCCACAGTGGGCTAGGGTACTTATTTAGAAACGAAGTGAATGAAACATACTTCATTATCGAAAGATCCAGGTCTAATCGGTACAAAGATACCAATTCTTGCCTTGAAGCTCTCTATTATCTATTTTATATGTGAATGAAATGAAGAAATTAACGGAAATTTTAAAAGTGACGAAATAAAATTTCCAAAGTACAAATTTTCATGCAACTAATTGAGGATGTAATGTTTATCAACAGTGAAATTTTACATCCCAGGATACACGACTAATAATTTAACCGAATGAATATCTGTAGAAGAATATCGTTCTGTGCCATAGCAACTTTTAAAGCAGAGGGAAGTAATCAATCGTCGTAAAATAAAAATTTTACGCTAGGTTAGAGACAAAGCAGGAAATACGAAATTTAAAATGAATTATTGAAAACACATCAGTAAAGATAGATTAAACGAATACCCAGTAAACGAATGCGAGAAGAGACTTGGTGATATTTTTAATGATTTTCTCAATTCTGACGAACGTTTTTATTTAATGATAAATAGCCATAACCAAGCGACATGTAATAGATCAGAGGAATGAGGCAAATTCCTTGGTTGCTTCTGAAACGTGACAAAGATTCGAGTCAAGTCCCAACTTTTATCCTCAAACAATAAATAGATTTTATTTCATTCATTTTTAAACTGATAGACGAAGGAAAATAAATGAACAGATATATATGTATAAGTATATGTATACACAGATTTTTACAGAAAATGAGAAAAAAACTAGATTCATATTTTCTATCCAAGCGGCAAATAATTGTAATAGTTATTAATTTGCAATGGACTTTGTCACTAGAACCGTTAATAGATGAAATAATGAATGTGAAGAAAAATTATTGAACAATCAATCTCATCTTATCAATCCGTTATAGTCCGCAATATTCATTTTTTTGCAATTAAAAACAGCGAACAGACAACCAATTACAGTATTGCAATAGTTTAAATATATAATTGTACGTTCAGTTGATAATGTTGCGTTTGATCAATCAGTGTGGAGAGAGTTCTACTCATTCTGCAATAGATTCTGTAGGAGCATCAAGTGAATTAGACACTTTTGACAATAAATAAAACGTTTATTTCGATGAGTTTCGGAGATTTTCCACGCTGTTGTTAATAACGTCAATGTTTCAACCGTCGTCTCAGGTACTTATCAAAATCATTTATGATGAAGATTGCATTGATCATAAATGTTAAAAATGAACGAACAAACTCAGGTAATTCAAGCAGACAGGCCGTGATATATTATAAATACTGATAGAATTTTTTTTCATTATCTCTCAGTTTGATTGTTCCCATTAATTTATAATGAATTTTTGCATACCTACCAATGAAGTAAAGGAAATAGGCTGATGGAAGTTAATGAAAGAGAGAAAGAGAAAAATATGAATATATTATATATCGCCATAGCTACCTCCGTAATGATAAATAATCATCAGTCTTTTTGCGTATCCAAATTACTGTAAAATAAACCACTGAACGAATGCCCTAACATAGGATATATAAAAAAAATCATTAAATATCAGATGTCTAAGCATTTTTTGTTCTTGTTTATTTTTTTTACTTATTACTATTTACAGAAAAATATTGCAAGATTCTACCTACTTCCACTGCATAGATTTTAAGAACTGTACCATTGCGAAACGATCGAGTGTTGCAATTTGTCAAATTCAGGATACCTGATGGATCTAATGTCAATATGGACTATTGATTCCATTGATTTTTTATTATTTTAGCCAGAAAAAGATTCCAATAAATACAAGATTGAAATCATTTCACTGCCACTTGTCACTCACTCGTTCGTTTCGTGATCAGAGTGCTGATTATTCCAAATCAACAATGCAATACAATGTACTTACAGTCACATGAACAATTTTTTTTATGAACGAAGTGCGACAGAACTGTTTGAATGACTGGAGAAAATTGAAATGTGAAAAATTTAATTGTAGATTTGAGAGAAAAAATTTCGGGGGGGGGAGGGCTGACGAAATATAAATAAACTCTAATGCCCCATTACATTGGAGATAATTGTTTGCATAATACATGTATGTACATAGATTATAGTAATATCTACGGATAAACTTACATGATTTCGTGATATTTACACAGAAAAAAAAAACAATCAGGGACGCATAGAGAAGTTCTGATTTTGGAGAGGAGCAGAGTGCTTAAAAAATTCATTTTCTCCTATGAAAGGAGAATTAAACAAACAATTTTTTCTCATTAGAAATATGGAATGTGCAATGATACTGGAGAGAAGAATTTAGAGATGAACAAAAAGAAAAATTAGTGAGTGTGAAGGGGCGACAACCGAACGTGTCCCAAGCGATTAAAATTGCCAACAACTTTGGAAAACATTGTAAAAAATACGTTGGATTGTACGCAAATTTAAGAATTACTTTAATATCTAAGGTGCTTCATTATTAAGTATTTGTTACGTTGCGTCTAATTTTTTTCTTTGCCATTTTTTCATTATATAATTTTTTTTTCAAATAAGTATGAAAATAATTTGTTTTATTCATTTCTTTATTAACCAATCAGTCATACTATAATAGAGTTATTTAAGGTCCACCATTATTTGTTTTTATTTTACATCCTGGGGCGTTTACGTATTACCGTTGTTGGGCTCAGAAATTTATTTCACTTCGAGCATGGATGATCGACGAACGATAAAAAACTGAAATCATTATTCCTTTTACTGCTGAATTAGCACGGCTATGACTTTGGTTTTTGTCCGTTCTCATTTGCGCCAGCAGCCTACTTGTACATAATTTCACACTTCGTTCTATTTATCCATGCGCAAAAACATACGCTTTAATCTACGCCTTTCATCTTCAACTATTTTCATTTCAGTTTTATTGTTTTTTACGTGTCTTCCTCGGAGTACTAAACTGCTACCCGTTGTTTTTTGCCATTTTCTTCATGTGTAAGCCATTCAACTTGCCAATATTATATACAATAAACGCGTTGGAAAGGTATTTTTCTATTTGTCTAAGTTTTTTTGCTTCATTTCAGGGTTTATTTGGAACTTTTTTCAGTTGTGTATTTATCTTGGATTGAACAAGCGATTTTGAGAGAAGATGTGAAGAAAACAGTTTCGTAACTGGAAAAATTTCCCATGGTATAGGATATTTCTAACCTGGGGAGGTAAAATAACAGAGTTGAGGCCACGTGTGGAATTACTCCGCACGTGGGTAAGGGTCGTCCTTTATTTAACCTCCTGTGGTTGGAACCGTATTTTCATCACACTGTCCACAAAACGTCGGCACTTCGTGTCCGTCAAACGTACTTTGGTTTCCGGTTTTTTTTCCCCGTGAAAAGTGCCCCGGCGAAAAATCCCCGGAAAATTTTTCTCCAGAAAAGTTTCTATATCCCCAAGAAAAAAACCTATGCAAAATTTCCCTGGAAAATATAAAATCAGACACATTCGAACGCAACATTAATTCATCTTGATTTAATATCCATTATTTTCTTGAAGTTGATAATTTCTAAACATCATGAATAACTTACACCCACCTTTTCGTCAAAATAGGATTCAATTCTTCAAACAGAACATTTACAACCAAACAAAGTTGCCAGCATTAATTTTCAATATAATCAGCAACATACAAAAAAATTGAATGTGAATTAAAAATTTACATATCAATATTGGTCGGTAAACAATAAAATGGCTAAACAATTGCGAATGAAAGAAAAATGATTTGTGTAATTAATTTTTTCATTTTTCTCCTAAAAGAAAAAAGAGAAATTCAACTAGCATTTTCTGAAGAAAAACTCCAAACAAAATCCCACATGAAAAAAAATCGTAAGGAAAATTAATCTCAATGAGAACAATTCACCGAGAAAGGATTGACGGGGAAAAAATTCCCTTTGCCTTTTTCGTTTACAAGTAACCGAAAAGACTTCGGTTACTTTTCGTTTACGAGTAAATGAAAAGGCACTTTTTGGCACGAGGTGAATGTAGTAGCAGTGTCAAAATAGTATATTTCAGTACGTGTGGGGCAATTTCGTCTTTAACGTGTGTGGGGTTTACAGCATGAGCCGAAGGCGAGTGATGTAACCACACACGTTAAGGACGAAATTTCCCAACAAGTACTGAACAAAATTTTATGTCACGAAGCCTGAAACCGGCTGAATTAGACACGAGACGCGAAGCGTCGAGTGTGTAATCCAGCCGGTTTCAGGCATGAGTGGCATAAAAGTTTTTTCGGCCTTGTGACGAAAATAGCTATTTTCGCCTCGGTGTAGGCGCAAAGTCCGCTTCGCGAGAGGGAAATGTGTATTTTGCGCCCGCCGAGGGGAAGAACTGTTTATATTTTCTCTCAAAATCCCCAATTATTGGAATTATTTTCCATTTTTTTGTTTGATGAGTTAACGGTAAGTTTTTATTCTTTTAATTTTGTAGACTAATGAATGGGTGAAAAATGATCGAAGTGAATCAGTATTTTGAACTGAAACGAGCGTCCCCAGTGAAAGCAGAAAAAGTATAACGAATAATATGTAATATTTAGAGATAAATGAGAATCTAGTATTAAGAGTTGCCTATTGTTAGAAGCCAATAATGATTATATTCAGACGAAAATAAAACGTGCACGTAAATTGAACTGATATCCGCGCGTAGATAATGCATTAGAACTGTTGCAAATTATTGTATTGAACTAGGTTGTTTGATTGTGGTCTCGTTTAGACTGGAATAGTAAAATTCAATAGATTTTGCTACTGTCGAATCAGGAAGCTCGTGGGATTGCGGGGCTTGGTGCCTTTTAGCAGCCTGTTTTGTACGTGAAAATTAGTACCAACATTTTTTTCACATTGATCAACACAAAGAACAAGTACAAAAACAGGTGAAACACAGTTCCTATTTCGCTCCCCCACAATTATCTTAAGAAATTGACTATACACTTCATTATATTGATGAATAAAATTAATAAAAATTAAATGAAAGAAAACTTATAAGATATATATGTATACAAAAATTGTAAGATTATGCCCTGCCGAGTATACAATAAATATTAAGACATAATTAACAGACGAAAACATGAATCGAAATTTTTGTCCGTCAGTTATTTTACACCCTTTAAAGTCTTAAAGTAGTATAATTCAACCCCAGTTGAGTCGTCGACAGTGACGAGAACAAATAAATAAATATTAAAAATAAATAATAAATTTATTCAAATAAATGAATAAATTTAAAAAACCAAAAAAAGAATTATTATTTATCTTTGATCATTTTTCCCATAAATTCTAACTTTGATGAGTGTAAGAAATTGATCCACCAAATTCTTTTTTCAATTATTTTTTTATACAATAGTCTCTCGTTTGACTAGGGTGTTCTGATGTAACACGCGTCTTTGGGCATGCCGAAACAAATTATTTATTAATTTTTTATTTGTTCGGGCATGTCAAAACAGATTAATTATTATCAAAGATTGATACTGACGATCATTTTTCCCAATAGGATTTCGACCAATCAAAATGCAGTATTTGAAGCTACCCGACAATTTTATTTCGGATATTTCCTCTCAGTTTTTGAAATATTTCGCAGTAGCTCTTCATTTTTTCGGCTGATTTCAGTTGGAATCTTGTATTTGACAGTCTACGGGAAATCGGGTTATTCTATTAACATAATTTGTCCAAACCTTCCCTAATTCACCTCCTGATGCTGTCCACTGCAGTCTGATTGGCCAAAATCCGATTGGGAAAAAATAATCCGACAAATATTTCGAAATTATATATATATTTTTCGAAATTTTTTACTTCCCAATCCAAAGGACGGGAAGTTACTGTAATGATCTCAAAAATTAAATGTTGAAGTTTGATGATTTGTCCACGTTTCATGACCTCTTGAGTCATCCTGAAACGTTTTTGAAGGCATGTCTGTGTATGCGTATGTGTGTGTGTGCGTGCGTGCGTATGTATGTATGTATGTAACGGAAATTTTGTCCAACGATTTCTCCTGAACAAATGAACTGATTCAACTTTTTTTTCAATCGATGCTTCTTCATGTAATTTAGAACTGATTAGATCATGGAAACGATCGCCTCAGCTGTTTGTTACTTTTTCCTATAAAACTTGTAAACAAGCAGTATGACGGAAGCTATTTGACAGATCACTCATGACTGTTACTTTTTGTGTAAATTTTTTTTCTTCAATTTTAGTTTTTACCAATTCCATTGGTAGTATGCTTCCGAATGGAATGGAGAAGTGCCGTGGTTGATGGTAACTCAGGAGGATCCCTGTCGCGTAACTGGGACACCCGAGTTCGAATCTCGACTGGCTGCAATGGGATTTTCTTCTTTCTAAATCCTCATTCTCATTGAATTTTTCGATTTTTTGTCTCTTCTTTTCTGTCCACATACGTATGTATACAGAGACTATGTTCAAGTAGTTGATTAGAATAAATAGGGAGTGAGAATAAGTAAATATGCGAAATACTAGTGGCTACATGGGTAGCGTGCGGCTGCGGTGGTCATAAAACCGTTACCTCATTTTCTCTGTTTCTATAAAATGAAAAAAAAAATGTTTTTTTTGTGTGATATGATCTTTCTAAGACAGCCTAGAGTAAAAATGAACAGTTAAATATAGAAGCGTTGATCCTTTTCTTCTTAAGAATCTGGAAGATTGGATATAGGAATGTTATTTGACAATCCTAACTAGTAGTCAATGTTTCAAAAGATTTCCCTGATTTTAATCCATGTTATAATATTCAAGAGTGCATTCTGATCAAAAAAATACAAAAACGGCAATATCTTGAAAAGTTTCTATCGAGGGGTATACATATTTTGATTGATGCAGATAGATGACATCAAGAAGAACATTTTGAAAAAAAAAAATTGAAATCGGTTGTATAGTTTTTGAGATATTGAGCAAAACAGTTTCACATAAAAAGTTGAATATCTCCGAAACTACTGGTCCAATTTTGCTCATCCAAAATACCAAACTTTGTTATCACAAGACCTGAAATCCTACCAAGTTTGAAGTTTCTATCTCGACTATTTTTCAAGCTATCATGTTTACAAGGAATTTCAGCGAAAAAAATGAAAAAACGAGAATAAAACCACATTGCTTGGGGTTTAATGGTCTTTTTTCGATCCATTTAGATAGGCATCATCACGACGAGTATTTTGAAAAAAAAAAATCGAATCGGTCGAATGGTTCAGGAGATATTGGCAAAAAACGATTTTTGAAGAATTGCTGAATCTCAGGAACCGCTCAACCGATCGAGCTGAAATTTAGGCCAGTTTTGAATATCAATAGTACCAGATAGCAGCCAAAATTTCAAGTTCTTTGCGCTAACCGTTCTCGAGTTATGGGGGCAATTGGGGACATACGCACACACATGACCACAGACATACATACATACATACAGACATTTTTTAAAAACATGATTTCTTCACGTTTCATGACATTTCTAGGCATTTCCACCCAAAATTAGGAAATCGAAAAAAATTACAATTACATAGCTTCCATTCGGAAGCAAAAACGCCAAAAGGCGACAATTTCATTGAAATTCGATGATTTTACCTAAGATAACAATGCGATATGAATCAATTTTGTAGAATTGATGCGTCTTCACATAATTCAATTCTAATTCAGTAGCGAAGCGGTAAACCGGGTTAAGTCGCTTTTGAGCATTGTCCAGTTTTTGACGAATATCTCGGAATCTAAAAGAGATAGAAAAATTTTTGTCATAATCTTGTTTGGTGAATGACTAGATTTAGGGTGGATGTGGGATGAAAATGTGGAGGGAGCTGTTGGGAAAATTACTGATGAGCTGGATTTAAAAAATCACACTTTATTTTGTGGGATCGAACCACTTTGTCAAAACTTATGTACACTCTTTGGTAATATGTAATTTCATTGGTGATAGTCTAATGTCACTGATGATTGTCTTTGCACGTTAATTTGGTGAGCCACTGAATTTAAACTGAATTTAATCAACAGAGGTGATCTACTGAATAAAGGTATTCAATTTTGAATGTTAATTGACTGAATCGACTTCTCAATATGAACTCTTACTAATGTTGATTAATACTCGTTAGTAACTATTCGGTGAATTACTACACATTGAATTACTCGTTGAGTTCTACTTAATACTTGTGGACTAGTTGAGAGACTACTACTTAGTTGATGTGAACTCGTTGAAATACGAATGGATACTATACGACGTCTACAGGTGATTTGCTCGAGATAGACTTGTACGGTGAGAGGCTAAGCCTAAACTGATTCGCGCGTGTTTCGGTGACTTATGACTGATGACCCGAAGGGTCCCGGAGATTTTCGAAGTAGGCCGATGGTCGACCAGAATGTTCTGGAATTTTAGTTGCGTTTCAAACAAATCTTTTTTGTAGAGCATATTGAGGCTTATAAAAAAGATTATGAGCAAAATTTTTCGATCTCTCTTAACTTCCGAGATATTCATCAAAAACTGACCAAAAGTCAAAAGTGACTTGACCCGGTTTACCGCTTCGCTACTGAATTGAATATTGAGTGGAATCGTCTCAGCGGTTGTTTAGTCATTTGGATGCAACTTTCGAAATTGTCTCTTTTTCTAATCATCAGTAAACAGGAAATCGATCGGAAAGTTATTGGTTCAACCCATAATGGGTTACACCCAATTCCACTCACCCCTGCCGGTTACACCGCAACCCGGGAGCAAGCGAAGCGAGCGACCGGCGTTAATTTTTTATAGATTTCAGTCTTCTTCCTTATCTCTAAAAGTTAATTTTTTAATAAGACTGTGTTATTTTTGCACTTCTAGATGAATTACTCTCAATAATACTACACTACACTGCAAAAACTCGGGTCTTACGAGCGGTCTGAAACTAAGATCCAAGACCGTAAGACCGGTAAACGGTCTTAAAATCGGACTAATTTCCGATGTTAACTTGCGATCTTACGCATTTTAAGATTGTTCATGAGTCTAATCATAGAAATAAGATCCCACTCCGATCTTAAATTTTAAGATCGCAACTTCAAGATCGGAAACGGGTCTGATTCTAAGATCACTTGGTTGGCTTAA